TCCAAAACCAGCACAGATTTTTAGTGCTACAAGTATCCTTGACATCTGCTAAGCCCAAAGTGAGCTGAGGGTTACATTTACATTAATGACTCTTTCACCATTTTTCCTCCCTCCACCCCCCCCCAGCTAACAGCCTTTCTATCCAGGATGAGCAACAAAGCATGGGTAGAAATAAATGCAGGATCCCCCTTTTCTTTGTGTGTGTATGTGTGCATGTGTGCACGCGCACACACATGCACAAACACACTTCCATTCATTTTTTATTTCACCTACTCAAAGGGAAATACTGTGATTTTGCTCCAGAAGATCTTTTGTGTTGAGCTGACACTGTACATTTAAATATCTATTGCTTCCTCTATCATTTGCATGTTAATGTTCCAAACCAATAATCATGAAGCCTTCTGTGAAGATGTGAAATAACAATAAGAACAGGAAGAATTTTGGATCTCATTCGAAGCCTCCCTTAAAATTATGCCTCAGAGGTGTCAGCTAGTTAATAGTCATGTTAGAGACTGTTTAAATTAATGAGACACTTGTGGGTAGTGTCTGGGTGATGCCACAGAAGACTAAAGCATTCAGGCTTTTTGTCTGGTTCACAGTCAGTGAGTACTCCCGTGGATTTTTGTCTAATTTTGGCACCATTTTGAATACACAAATCCATGCTAAATTTGGTGGTGTGGGTGTGTGAAAATACAATTAATTCTGTATTGTTATTCAGTTCTTCAATCCTTTGCAGGAATGAAGCCAGCGGACCTTTTCAGACCAGTAAATATCTTCATTGTGCTTAGAATTCTTTGAAGACCATGATAAAAAAATATTCTGATATTATTCCCTCTCCAGACAATGCACTCCATTTAAGTGTCATGGAAGGCATATGATAGCATGCAACCACTATGCATGTGACCTCATCTCATATGACTTATTTTTTAAAAAATAGGTGGTATTCCTTTCTCCTTGATGAGTGATTTAACCTTTTCCTTCTGGAACCTTCAGTATAGAGAAAACAGTTTCAGGTTGTTCGATTTAACTAAAAAAAAAGTTCTTTGTTCCCTGGAAAGTTTGATGAAGAAACTGGTTAAACAGGACTCTTCTCATTCCAGTTGGGATTCTTTAATTACTTTATGAATCAAAATAGACAACCACCCTATTCTCATTTTAAAAAGATCAACTGTGTCGAAGTATGGATAAATGACATTCCTCGTGCATATTTTTTTTTTTGGGGGTTCATACAATGGTCCTCTTTTCAGTTTCATTTAAATTGAACATTTTGTTACCGTTTGTTTAAAATGTATCTGGATATGTCCTTCCTCTGCCTCCTCTGAATCTGAATTATAATGATAACTCCAGGTTTGTAAATCAGATGAAGGTAACTTAATAACAGTTAGTTCCTACAGCTGCTGTTTGGAAAAGGAATCTCCACTGGATGAATACTATTAATTAACTAATGTTTTTCAATTTCATAACAAATGGAAAATGATAATGAGCATGGTCCATTTGTTATGAAATCTATGAAAGGCAATCTATAGACATTCGCTGTTTCTTTCATTTTTGTTCTCCTTGTGGGGAGTTATCCCTCCTTATATGTTGAGAACCAGCTTCTTTAGCTTCATATAGCTAAACTATGCAGTTTACCAACATCTTTAATGATAACCTGTGGTACTTTAGACATGATACAACCAACCTGACACACTTTATAAGTCAATAAAAATAACAAGATGTTCATTTTACCTTTATAGTCAATAAAAAATAAAGTAAATACTATGTTTAAATTGTTTCTTTAAGACTTATGCTTGCTTTTAAGAGGCTATTGTTCTTTTAAATAGCAGTTGCTTTCAAATACAGACGCTAGCATAAGGCTGATTTGTAAAGTCAAGTTACTAGCCCTACCAAACACATGTCAATTTCCCTTAGCCCCTTTCCCCTCAAGTAATTCCTTTCTCACCACTGCTAGGTCAAGGCTGCTGTTCTCCATTTTTTGATTATTTGTCTCTTAACCAGGTTTGGGCTGGACAACCCCTAAAAATAGACAGAGGACTGCCCTTTGTAAAGTAGGACACACGTCTACTTCCAATATATAGATGCATTAGTAGTGGTGATAGTTTTTACGGTGCATTTTCATTCATGGTCATGGATCTCAGAAACATGTTCGAAAATGGGATTGATTTGGGGATTGTGAATGCTTATGAACTGAGCTGAAAGACAATCCACAGTTGAACATAGTGGTGGGAGAAGATATTTGTCTTCATGTTAGCGATGTTTTTCCCCCCTCTGGACTCCTCATATGTGATTCTAATTCTGCCCTATATGTTGTTTGACTCAGAGCCGTCTTTCCCATAGGGCTTAGTGGTGTGTTGTGCCAGAAGGCAGGCCTCTCAGGGCTTTGCTGCCAGCCTCCCCTTTCCCTGCACGCGCGCTAGCTGCACCCCGCCAACTATATGGCTGGCAGGCGGCAGATTCCTTCCCAAGCCTCTGCGGGGATTGCTGTCCTGCAGCAGCATAGGGGGGGTTGCACCCCCCCATGGCTGGCAGTGTGCAGCTTGCCCCCCCCATCCATGGTAAATTTGGGGTGCTGGGCGGATATTTGCACCCCAGTGCCGCATCTGCTAAAGACGGCCCTGGCTTGACTGCTTCTGCTTCAGATGCACAGGCCATACTCTGGCACAATTTCCATGGGTCCATCACTTGTCTCCTCCTTTTTCTTTCTTTAAGCTATGCCAATTGTGCCACAACCCCTCCCCCCATTCCTGCCACTTCAATTGATAGGAACCATTCCTGGGTTTCTTCCCTACTCCTCAAAAATGGAAAGCCACACCCTTCTGATACATGATTTTTGTCTTCTCTCCTCTGGAGGCCTGTATGCTACGTGAATGACGTGGTGCTAAATTGACATTTGAGAGGCATACTGACATTTCCAGAAGAAAAATGCTGCTGTAAAAGTGTCATTTATTGTGACAGATGGGGATTTTAGCAAATTAGGTATTGTAAACTGAAATGAGAAAGAAAAAAACAACGACCCAGAAAAATATGTAAATTGCAAGCAGACGTTTTAAACGCTCCCAATTACAGAACTTGTTTCAAAATGTAAACCAACTTTCTGATAAAAGATTTAAGCCAATACACATAATCAGCAGAACTTGCTCCAGTGCTTCAAATGGGTTTGGTGGCATTTAAATCAGCCTACAAACTTTTTTTTTTGGTAGAGAAAAACATGCAAAAAGAGATCAGATTATATCTATTCAGATTTGCTGTCTAAGGATGTCAGAATATAGGTCAATGCTGGACTTTGGGCTATCAAATTTCAGCAGTGCCCTATGTGGTCTGAATCCAGGAAGCCTAGGAGTGCAACTCCACTTATGGGATACTCCACTAGAGAAGTAGGAAGATCTTTTTTGTCACTACTTCCTTCCCCCTGCACTATCCCAAATCTGCCCTGGAGTATTGGGGTACCCTTTGGAATAATAAGGGAAAGCTTCAGGCAGAGTTGACAAAATATCATTTCCCTTTCCTTGCGGGGTGGGGGACGGATCTAGCACTGGATCTCAGTCTCTTCTGCAAATGCCAGCCCGTACAATGGAAGAACAGGCCTGGATCCAGTCTATAGTCTGAATACAGCTATTGTATTTTTTTTTAGAAATCTGGAAACTCGTTGTTTAGTAAGGGAACTTGGTTTAAACTAAACTGAGTGTTTAGTTTGCGTGGTTTGCCTCCACATGTGTGTGTGTTTAGAGCTGGAACACATGATCAGCAGGACCCGACACAGTACCCTATTTCACTTCAGACTGGTAGTAGATCAAATATTCTTTTAAAAGAGGAACATTTCTCAGGAGTCAAAGTGCTAAAAGCATTGCTTACCAGCTCCCAATGCATTATGAATAGGGCTAATTTGATCTCTTTGCATTCTTTTTGCCCTGTGCATATAACTATATAACCTATGGTCTTAAAGGTATCAGATTATAGTTACAAGACCCTTTTGTGGTGTTAATGCTGTGATCCTTCCATCTTAGGCTCAGGTTGTGTGTGTGTGTGAAGACAGGACAGACTCCGCTCCGCGTCACTTGTGAAGGCAACATGAACCCTGAAACCCTGGAATCTCGCACCACTCAGAGATTGGTGTGGCGTACAACATGTTGTTGTTGTTGTTGTTGTTATACTAGTTAATTCCTTGTTACTCAAAGGTATCCAAGTGACTTAATGTAAAAGCATTAATATACACTATGCCATAAAAACAAAAGAATCCTTGTTAGCAACCCAGCTAAATCATCAGAAAATAATGAGCACTTAACTGGTCCTAAGAAAGGTATTATTTGCCCATTGCCTCTTTTGAATCTTTTTTTTAACTGACAGGTATTGTTACCTGAGTTTTCTCTTCTTTTTATGCTTTATCATTTTCATAATTGACATCATCAAAAAATAAAACATCTCCCAGGGAAGGACGTGCCTGTGGGCTTAAGCCGCTGTTGTGTGATGTGTGTATGACCAACCTACATCCCATTAGAACAACCCAAGGCTACTCTGACTCATGCCCGGGGAGCCACTTGAATTGCCAAACTAGTCCTCTGGCCTGGATCATTCACAAGTGTTGGTCCATACTGCTTGTCAGGCACCGCAGGCAACCAGGAGAGAGGGTGGGGACAGAGCCGCCATAGCATGGGAGGGGGGGAAGAGTTAAATCCTCCCATTTCTCTTGAGGTGCTCCAGATCTAGATTACAGATATAAAAGGCTATGCTCTTTGGAAATGGAAGGGTTAAAATGATACCCAGAGAGGGGGTAGGGAAACATTAGGAATTACTTTCTGACAGTAAGAGCTGTTTGACAGTGGAACAAATGTAAGAAAAACACTGGGGCCTAATTTGATTAGTAGAATGTCTGTTATCTGGTGGGCGGGGCTTCAGCATTGTGCGCTGGAATCAGCCCCTCCCTTCGGGTGTTCAGTTTAGTTCAGTTAGAGAGGCCAACTGTCATTCTCGCCTCATGACGTTGTTTTAGTTTCTCTCAGACAGTAGGTTATCGTGTTACAATTTTCTTTATTATTAAAGCTTTGCTTGACATATACACGAGCCACTTACTTTGCTGAAAGAAAAGCAACTATGCTGAAGACTGGTGGGATATTCTAAACTTGAGTGAGTGAGGGGATATTCCCAGTCTGACAGGAGGATTAATTCATTTATTTTTAAGAATGGCAGATCAAGTTGATGGATTATGCCAAAATGGCTAAAATGACTGAAAGAATCAGAAATCAGGAAGACCAAAATTTTAATAAGGAATGGTGAAAATTTATAACCTATCTTAAAAACCATGGTAAATAGTTAAAATCATTAGTAGGATTGGAATTTCACTTGTACCTTACTGGTGAATTTTGGACACAATGGAGACGTAAAAGATTTTGATTATCATAAAAGATGCAGGAGGAAATGATTAACAATAGGACCCACAAAGGGGAGGAGGGAAGTCCAAGATATTCCTTGGAATCTTGTTTTTATTTTGTTTGTTTAATATGTGACTGTAAATTTTTAATCTGAATTTAAAAAATAAAAATAAATAAAGATTTTTTTAAATCACCCCCACCCTCCACAACACAGACAACCTCGGAAGGTGGTGATTCTCCTTCATTGGAAGTTTCTAAGCATATGTCGGATGTCCATCTGTCAGGAAGTCTTTAGCTGTGTTTCCCGCATTGCAGGGGGTTGGACTAGATGACCCTTGGGTCCCTTCCAACTCTACAATTCTGCGATTCTGTGAGTCACACCACAGAGACAAAAATTTCTAGATCAAGGTATGCAGGCTGTAACCAACTACCAAAGCTGCTGAACAACTTTAATAATAATAATAATAATAATAATAATAATAATAATTTGATACCCCGCCCATCCGGCTGGGTTTCCCCAGCCACTCTGGGCGGCTTCCAACAAAATATTAAAAATACAATAAAACATCAAACATTAAAAACTTTCCTATGCCATCTTCACCTGAGGAAAATGAATAGCTGTTCCACTGTTTTGTTTTGTGTTTTTAAAAAAGTCAGATCTTCCAAGATGTGTTGCATGGAGAGAGGAGAGAAACTGGACAAGGGAGAAGAATCACAACATCATGAAGCCAACACGGCTAAAACTGGATAAACAAAGCCTTGCTCATTCATAGTCAATGCCGGGTCTGGAAGAAGTCTGAGAAATTGTTCTGCTAGAAAGATGAGCAGGTGTGCTTAATTGTTGAGTGGGGGGGGCAGGAGGTGGTCATTATTTGTCTTTTTAGTTGCCTAATATCTTTAGCATAAGTCTGGAAGAAAACATTGTCCTGGAATGGGAAAAGACTGAGTTCTGTGGAAAGGAATCTGATGAAGAAAACCTCAAACAGAGGTCCCCCTGCAGCCTCAGCAGATCTCTGGAGGAAAGCGCTTGAAAACTCTTCCTGGATGCCCCATCTCAGGGTTTAACAAGGGAATTCAAAATCCTGTTAGTTTCATTCCTAATTATGTTACAACAGCGCAGCGTGGAAGAAAATCTCGCTATTGGCAATTTGCTGTGGTAAGCTGAAAACTGAGTTGCCCAGAATTGCCACATTTAAACTGTAATGTGCAGCTTCAGAAAACACTGCTCCTGCCTCCGCTCCTCACCCCACAGCTGCCAAATTCCACAGAGCGCCTCATCTCATTCAAACCCCTTTACAACAAATCTGTATCATTTCTATTTAAGAAATGAAAGGTAAAACTTCAGCTGCATCTTTGAAACCTTAGAATAACACTGTTTTCTCATTTTTAAGTGAGCAGCAGTAATGGGGAGGGGGTGCTGATCTGGACTGAGGCTGCAGCATGAGGAGAGTTAACCATTTATGTTGTGCTATTTTCATACTGAAAAAACTCCCCCCCCCCCCACTATTTGCAACTTTGGAGACAAACAGGTGCATGAGATGATTGGGGGGAAGCATAACTCCTCCTCCTCCCTCTACATCACGATCCTGTTCAAAACGAGGAGCCATGTAGGCAATAGCCGGGGGGGGGGGATAAGAAAAACTTAGGAATCATGGTTTCAAATACATAGTTAAAGTGAAATCTATTCTGATCCTAACAGCCCATTGAGACATTCACAACCAATAGGAATTAAAGAACCTTTTAATGAGGGTGAAAGAGGAGAGCGCAAAATATGATCTGAAGCTCAACATCAAAAAAACGAAGATCATGGCCACTGGGCCCATCACCTCCTGGCAAATAGAAGGGGAAGAAATGGAGGCAGTGAGAGATTTTACTTTCTTGGGCTCCATGATCACTGCAGATGGTGACAGCAGTCACGAAATTAAAAGACACCTGCTCCTTGGGAGAAAGGCGATGACAAACCTAGACAGCATCTTAAAAAGCAGAGACATCACTTGCCAACAAAGGTCTGTATAGTTAAAGCCATGGTTTTCCCAGTAGTGATGTATGGAAGTGAGAGCTGGACCATAAAGAAGGCTGATCGCCGAAGAATGGATGCTTTTGAATTATGGTGCTGGAGGAGACTCTTGAGAGTCCCATGGACTGCAAGAAGATCAAACCTATCCATTCTTAAGGAAATCAGCCCTGAGTGCTCACTGGAAGGTCAGATCCTGAAGCTGAGGCTCCAATACTTTGGCCACCTCATGAGAAGAGAAGACTCCCTGGAAAAGACCCTGATGTTGGGAAAGATGGAGGGCACAAGGAGTAGGGGACGACAGAGGACAAGATGGTTGGACAATGTTCTTGAAGCTACCAGCATGAGTTTGACCAAACTGCGGGAGGCAGTGGAAGACAGGAGCGCCTGGTGTGCTCTGGTCCATGGGGTTACAAAGAGTTGGACACAACTATACGACTAAACAACAACAACATCTTTCGTGCATCTAACTCCTCGCTTCTGCTTTAATGTCAGAAGTATTGATGTCACTGGAATGAAGGCTTCATACTCTAATTTGCCCATCATAAAAATGGGAAACAAGCAACTTGGCCAAAACAATCCAGAAAGGAAGTGTCATTTAAGCCCAGTTTCCCTACATCCAAGTCCATCACATTGAATCCTGTGTGGGACTGATACTAATGCAGCACAGAAACCGTTGCAAACCTACAGCAATGCTAGAAGCTGGAACTTGGATTGAAAGTCTCCTGTTGGCAGCATTTGTCAGCCTGATGTTTACAAAACTCCAGATGTTTCGCTTGATGGGGAGGAGTCTAAAACATCTGGAGGGCACCGGGTTGGCAAAAGCTGCAGATGTGTGCAGGGAGAGAATAGCTGCTTCCTCTCATTAGGAAATAATTTTTAAGAGGTCTTCTTTTTGGGGGGGGGAGTGAAAGCAAATAAAGGGTCAGAGGGAGTAAGTGAGCAGCTGGCAGAAGGACAGAGGAGTGTGACGGGAGCATCAGGCAGTGAGTAGATGAAAAAGAAGAAGAGGGCAATGGCAGGTGCGCTTAACAGCCGGTGGTTCAGATGCCTGCATTAAAGTAAGTCGCATTCTCTTCATATGTCACACATTTGGTATTGTTACGAGCAGCAGGGAAGCTGCTTCAAAAGAACTTCTCCCCCCCCCCTTCCCTCCACCCACTTTGCTTGCCACTTTATTTCTCTTCCTCCCTACAGACGACAAAGGTCACAGTCAGAGAGTTCTGCCTTTGCTAATAAGTTTCTGAAATGCCGTTCACTTCCCAACCTGACTTCCCCGCACAGACGTCTGCAAAGGACAGAACTATTAGCTTGTCTACAGATGGGATTTGGAGAAATGGCTGTGATGTCAGACGCAGCTCTGATATTCAATGGATTGATCGAGGTGCAGTAGATTCAAGGGCAAGCTGACATATCCTCCAGTCCTGACAGGTTTCTAAGCGGGAAAGGAAAAGTAGAAGAGGTTGTAAGAGAAGCCTGGGTACATCCTCTGGATGTTACAGGATGGCTGTTTGCTGCTTTCGGCAGGCTGCCATTCATTACTAGCTACAGGCTATAGCACCAGGAGGCCAGTGCTGCAAATATAGCTTTATTAAAAATGCACCACCATAAATGACAGGCTATGAATAAATGCTTGTCACCTGGGAAATGTGCCATGGAATAATAAGCTGAATGTTTGTGCATTAGTTTTGTTTGGAGGCACCGGTTCAGACTCTCTTCTAGCACTCATCTGGGCAGAGATGGCGTCAGAACTTGGCATCCTTAGGCAGTTATCCTGGTCCAGGCAGAGCTCACTGCTGAAGTCTCTTCTTGTGTACACTGTGTACACCACCTTGAGCTCCTTGAAGGAAAGGTGGGGTATACATGCAATAAATAAAAATTTTCAGGTAGTGGGATGGTGATTTCCTACTGGATGTGTGGTATTTAAGAAGTGGGGGGGGGCAACTTAGAATAGAAAATAAAGTGTGGGAATGAACACAAATACACTGAAGCTGACAAAACAGAGAATCCTGCAGAACCCAAATATAGTAGTGCTTGTGGATGCTAATTACATTTGTCTCTAACACATCTGTTCAAGAGCTATGTTGTGGAGGCATTGTGATAATTAGGAATTTTACATAAAAATCAAACCAAAGTGTCAATGAGAATGAATTGTGTGTATACATGTCTCCCACTCACCACCCTATAGCCTAAACTGCAGGAGCTATGACAACAATATAGCTCCTTTAAACACAGAAGCTTAGATCTGTAAAGCTCGAACTAGCGGAACATTTAAAAAGAGCAAAGACACTTAGATGGCAATCCTCTGCCCATTTACCTGGGAATAAGTCTTAATGAACTGAGCCTCATGGGATGCAGTGGTGCTTAGTCCTGAGTAGGAGTTGGGGAGAAATTCGATTCAGTTTGCTTTTAAAGGCAATTGTATTAAATTTGCACTTTCTAAAACAATGGAATTGGTGTTGATTCTAGTTGGCGCTGACCTGTGACAGGGCCTTTTCAGTGGTGGCTCATGCACTGGCTGGCCTAGTGAAGATCAAATCTGGAGTTGATGGGCCATCTAAGGAATCCTGCGGCCTGGGGAGAAAGATGTTGCCATGGTGTTGGGTGGGTGTGTGTGTTTGAAGTGATAGGAAAAGAAAATCTCGAGCAAGGGTTTCTGGGAAGAAGGGGAAGAAGGAAGACTGTGATCCATCTTGAGCAGACTGGCTGGGAAAGATGGTTTGAACTCCGTGGCTGCACTGCTGTAGGGGACAAGCGCCTCTTGAAATGACCATGCTGTAAGATCTGGACTTGCTCCACACAGACTGAAGGTATAAATAGGTGAATAAACCATATTTCTTAAAGCTACAACAGTCTCCGCCATGTCTCAATTGTCCAAAGGACCACAGACCCTAGGTATGTGCCTGGAACCTCATGGACTCTTGCAACAGCTCAGCAGAGAGAGGGGGAGGCACCCAACTTTTGTAATAATATATTTCACAAAGCAATTATTATGTTCTTCATGACCACCAGACAGATCCTCACATTTACCCTTTGTGATGCTTTCTGCACATTCACTTGAATTCCGCACTGCTCCAAACCACACTTTCATCCAGTACATTTGTTGTTGTTTTCTTCGGGACGGCACATCAAACCTGGAGTTGGTGCGGCCTGCAAATCGCTTGTGGCGAAACCTGATCAACTCCACTGGAGCTGCTGGAGCCGCCTGGCCGGCATGGAGACTGTGCTACTTGCCGTATCCATGGATCAGTGATAATACTGATCGACAGGGATGCCTGAGCTTCGAGCCACGTTGCTGTGTTTTAAAGGCTTGGGGGCTTACTGCCATCTGTAGAAAATCAGCCCATATAGGTATTATATTGCCGTAGGTCCTTCCCCTGCCTGACTTGCTTCCACGGTTACCAGGCAGGCTCTGCTCTTCCATCAATTGTTGCTGTTTTGTACAACAGCAGTTGAAAAGCAGTGATACCCGCAGGGCACAGCCCCATCAGACTTCTCCCTTGGAATCCCCCTGTGTTCCAGCCAGCCCTGTTTGAACCTCCTCAGGCAACACAGCTTCAAACAGCTTCCCTCGAGAAATCAGCGCTGCCGTTTAATAGCAGGCCCTGTTCCGACTCCCTCTTTCTTTGGAGTGTTTATTTCTACAGCCGAGTGGCACTGCTGCCCGTCGACAACAAGAGGCTGTAATGGGTATCCTGAGAGCTATTGAACTAGATGTCGTTTCAGGATGCAATGACAATAACCACTTGAGGATGACTACAAATGGTCTCATTATGCATTTGCACATGGCTTTGAACCCTGGAATCCGTGTGCAGGATTCTGCGGCAACGCGAATGCTTCCGGACTTTCCTTCTGGGAAAGGCAGGAGTATTTTTTTTCTGAGGGCAGCCTCCAAGCAATGTCCTCATTTTGTAGAATAAAGCTCTGCTTGCTGCTGCCAGGGCTCCCTGAGAATGTGTGTGCCACATGCGGTCTTTATTTCATCAAATGTGTACACTACTTGACTGAAAGTAAGGAAAAATAAAAGTGGTTTACAAAAAGAATTAATAACATCATCAGTAAAAACAGTGAAGAACAGCTATTTAAAACATATCAAAAAAGAACGACAATTAAT